GGCGATCTAGTCGAGCGTTCTTGAATAATCGATTTAATGTTTCGTTCTGTAAGTCTTCTAAATGTTTGAGGTGGGGTTTTCAATAAAACATTTAATGCAGACCTCTAAGGAATATTATAAACAAAAACAAAACGCAATCAATACATACAGGGTGTATGAAAAAGAAAAACTTTTACAAACTTTAGGGACGGGTTCCTCACACCAAAACAAGGACAAAAATCCATATGAATATATGTCCGCAAATCCTTCGATTTTGAGTTATTAAATTTAAAGAACGTTTATGGCAGATGACGCTGGGTTGCCATAAGATTATGTTACATTTGTCATTCGTGTATATTTATAGCTAGTCTGGAATTAACGTGCGTTGTAGTAAGTGTGTGTTCTGTTTAACAGTGGCAGGTTATTCATATCGTGAGCAGGCAGATGTGAATTTTACATACGGCCGCGCGAATAGTAATGGACGCGAGGCTGCACGGTTGTATCAGAATGCGTTCCCAGACCAAAGGCAGCAGAGTCACTCAACTTTTGTTGCTGTTTATCGTCGCGTGGCTGAGACAGAATCCATGACACTAGAAATTATGGATCGAGTCTACATGGCAATACAGCGCCATATACAGTAATTTTTTTTTAATTTAATAACTGAGAAAGGAAGGATTTGCGGATATGTTTACATAGACTTTTGTCCTTGTTTTGGTGTGAGGAACCAACTCCCCAAAGATTGTAAAAAGTATTTATATATACACCTATATATATATATATATATATATATATATATATATATATATATATATATATATTGTGTATAATAAATATATGTATATATGTATATATGAATTTCGAACGGCAAAAATAATATCTATGTTGGACCCACGACAACAGCGTTTTCATGTAGGCTAAGTCTTCACCTAAGCAACATCTTCAATATTTCTAAACATTTACAAAAACCTACCTGTCCACACTCGCAATTAAAAAAAAAAACTAGTCGAAAATACCGCCATATTTTTCCACGAAAAGAATATACACTAACAAAGAATTTTCGAAGTTATTTATATAAAAAAAGTGAAACCAAACTTCAATAAAATTAATTACGAATACTCGAAAAACATTTTAAAAAGTGTGCAATAGATAGTCTTTCAATGTTAGCGCTTGCCATTAATAGCTTTTCGTTTATCTAACGACTACTCAAGTCACAGCATACCTTGTTACCTCCCCTTAAAATGTGTCCGCATCACCCAAGCAATGACACAGCTTTCTTGAATCAACATATAAAAATGATAATTTTCGGATGATCACAACAATTTTTGTACTTTACAAACATGAACATTAAATTCTTACTCTATAATTAACAATAACTTGATGATGACATTATGCTATGTCGAAAGTACTCGGAAAAAAAACACACACAATAGGAGCCAACACGGTGTTTTCCTCTCGTCTTTTAATAACCGGAAAAAGAAAGCTCCATGATTATGAAAGGATCTTATCGGGAATAAGTAGATAGAACATGTCTAAATTATTCAACGAAACCTGTCTTTACACACACACACACACACACACACAAACACACACACACACACACACACACATATATATATATATATATATATATAGAGAGAGAGAGAGAGAGAGAGAGAGAGAGAGAGAGAGAGAGGGAGAGACCTCTTAATTGCTATTGTTCCATGGTCTACCCTGATCGGAGGTGGTAGCACTTGTTAGGATCTCAATTATGATCAATTAGTGAACTCCAAAACTAGGGTTAAAACATTATGAAAATAAGAAAAACATTTTCATAGAAATAAATTAGCAGCAATACTTTTTGAAAAAAAAAATTAAGTTAATAAAGCTCCCCAAAAAACTAAATTCCGGCATTAAATGACCCATATCGGACTTGATATACCATTAAACAAACCAAATCCAAACCAAGCCATATTTACTAAGAAAAGAGATAAAAGTTTAAATAAAAATGAAAAAAATAAATAGAATCTTCTAGATCAGGGGTCGGCAACCTTTTGAAGAGAGCAAGCCAGAAAGCTATGCAGTGTTTCGGAGGAGAGCCATGATATCAAATGTATTTTAACAAATTGTTTCGACTTCAGACATCTCCGTCCAGAAGGCTGCCTTGGTCTGGAGGTTTAAAGTAAAAAAAGCAACAAAGTTAATGATTTATTATTTAAATAAGTTTCTTTATTTTACTGCAGGAATAAAAGAATAACAACTAACGCAACAAAAAATACAAATTCCTTACTGCAAACGAAATACAGTTAGAAATGGTAAATTATTTAATGGGACACTCGTTTCTGCTTATAGTTCGATAACTTCTCAACATCAGGTGAAATATATATCGACGAAAGGAGCAAAAAATCATCTAGGTGTTTGTCACCCAATCCTGTTCTTAGGCACGCACGCACACACACGCACACACACACACACACACACACACACACATATATATATATATATATATATATATATATATACCGGTGTAACAGTAAAATTGTCCAAATCGTGTAACAGCATAATTGTCCATTCCACAAAAGGTTTGCACTAAACTAATTGAGTTTCTTTTTTCCATTTTTTCAAATAAGACGTTTAGCCATTTAACGCCATTTGTCGTAAGAATCACTGAAAAACCCTTCGAGTTATTCAGCTAGAATGAGAACAGGTTAAAATTGCTTTCCCAATTGAGCAATGGTGAGACGAAAAAGATCATTCACGGCTTCAGTAATGGTACCAACATTCATACTCTGGCTTCCATCTTCAAAGTCCATTCAAGTACCATCAAGAGAACGGAGAATATAAAAGATAAAAAAATAGGGAACTGTAGAGAGGAAGACTGGATTAGGAGGTTATAGCAGGAAGAGGGATCATCATTTCTAATTAGATTTTAAAGTGATCAATTAGAAAAGATCCAACTCAGTCCATAAGACGTTTGGCATGTGAAAGAGGTGTTTCAGCTATGACAGTCCAAAGAGCAGTGAAAAAAGACTTGAAAATTAAATCTTACATGAAACCTGTGAGGCACCTTGTTACTCCAGGACAGAAAGTTAGAAGCTTAGAGAGGGCAGAGACCATCTTGAATAAGTTGGAAAATGATACTGGAATAATATATATATATATATATATATATATATATATATTTCAGTTCTTCATGAGATTCCGATCCTTAGCTATGATTAATTAATGATGAACATGTCATTTTCGTTAATGATCAATATCATCAAGTTACTGCTGTTAAGCTTAGAGAGCAATTATACATTCTTATTACTCAAACTACAGTTCAAAAGTGTTATAAAAACCTAGGAGAATTCCAGTAAGATATCTTTAATCATTTCTAAGATACAACTGTTCAAATCTTAATCTAACAAATAGACAATTTTGCTGTTACATGATATGGACAATTTTGCGGTTACGCCCGGTAGTATATTTCATTTTCGAAAAAAAGTTGTTCCCAAGCATATGGATTTCTTCCAAATAATAATATCACCATTTTCGTATTATTCCCAAAAGGGTCACCTATGTAGGTACTGACTCGACACGATATTGCTGAACTTCGGTGATCATACGGGAACCGGTTGGAAAAGGCATGAAGGCATCATCCACCAACTATCGGTTAAAAAGTAGAGCAGATTGGGTACTATTGCCTTGGCTAGCAGCTAGTCTAGGAGAAAGAACACCTGCTGTGATTTGTTTGAGGATTTCTTGGCTCGCTGTGACCCATTTATCTTTCGTTCTGGGTAAGACGATAAACTACGTCTGCGTCCTGGGTAAGACGATAAACTACATCCGCGTCCTGGGTAAGACGATAAACTACATCCGCGTCATGGGTAAGACGATAAACTACATCCAACAGCAAGCTCTTTGATCCGGAGGTTTTGAGGAGTGTGGAACCACCTCTTAATTACTGGCGTTCCCAGGTTCACCCTGGCCCGGGGTTGTAGCACCTGATAGGGTCCTAGCTATGGTCAAATAGTTAACCCCTAAGCCGGGGTCAAAGTATTATTAAAGTGTAAGAATAGGTTTTAATACCAGCAATACATTTTTGTAAAAAATTATTACCAGCAATTACGTCAGAAACGCCAGCTGCCTCTTCCTAATGTTAACTATAAGCTTCCTCTTTGTTTACGTCGTCTACAAAGTCTCATCGTTGCTCACACGCTCGATCCCTGATATCCTTAGCATCCTTCTGTAGAACCATACTTCCATTGCCCCGAGTTTCTTCTTCATCTTTGAGGAGACCATCGAACATTCGCTGCCGTAAAGGAGGACAGCTGTCATGTAACAGCTCAGCATTCTTTTCTTTCCTACCAAAGAAATCCTTCTGTCTCGTAATACTCTGCCTAGTTTTTGGAATACGTTTTTGTCCATCCCAATACGTCTTCAGATCTCAGCGTCGCACTTACCGTCCTCTGCCGAAACACTTTCCAGATATTTAAATTTCCGCACCTCCTTGATTTTAGTGTCCTCGACCTATAAATCGCGTGTCGGGTTCATCCTTTTACGGATGATCATGTTTTCTGTCTTTTTGCAGTTTATGCTTAGTCCCTTCTTCTCGCTCTCCTTCGCTACCTTATGTAGGAGGTTTTGTAATTTCTTTTCCTTGTCTGCTGTCAGTACTGTGTCATCTGCGTATCTTATGTTAAGATTGTGGCCACCAATGATGAATCCCGGTAGGGTTTCCAATTCTCTGAATTGCCTCGTTGTATAGAGTGAATAAGTCCGGTGAGAGGACATACCATTGCCTTACGCCTCTTTCTATTTTTGTATATCTGCTGAACTCATTCCCAATGCGCATGCATGCTGTTTACTGCCAGTATAGGTTCTTGATTATTCTAATATATTTGCCAAATATATCAAGGTTGCTGAGCACTTCCAACAGATCTTTGTGGCGTACTTTGTTAAATGACTTTGAGCAGTCTATAAAACATAGAAACATTAGGTTCTTCTGCATTTGCATTGTTATGACAGTAAACTTGTTTGCTGATGCAAAGCTAAACTGCTAGCTTTTAATCGCTTTCTTCTTCTTCTTCTTCTTCTTCTTCTCCTCCTCCTCCTCCTTCTTCTTCTTCTTCTTCTTCTTCTTCTTCTTCTTCTTCTTCTATGCGCGTGTCCCTTCAAGACGTAGGCAATCATGGCTCTCCACTATTTCCAGTCCTTTTTGACTCTTATTAAATTGTGTCTTTTTGTAATATCTCCTAAACCTAAATCATTTATTCAAATTCATTAAGTAGGTTATGGATAGTTTCCTCTGTCCCTCTTGTCGACCTGTGGATACCAAATTTTCTGTAAAAGTCACTTTAGTTTCCTTTCCGTGTCTGCTATCATTGCTGTCTCATCTGCGTATCTTATGTTGTTAAGATTGTGGCTGCCAATGATGAATCCTGGTAGGATTTCCAATTCTCTCAGAATTGCCTTGCTGTATAGGTTAAATAAGTCCGGTGAGAAGACACACATTTGCCTTACACCTCTTTCTATTTTTGTATATCTGCTGAACTCATTTTATATCCATATTCAGGCGAGATTTTTTATTATTCTGATGTCATGCATTCTGTCTTCTTTTGTAGTTTATGTTTAGTCCCTTCTCGCTCGCCTTCGCTAACTGCTGCAGGAGTTTTTTTGTAGTTTCTTTCCGTGTCGGCTATCAGCATTGTGTCATCTGTATATTTTCTATATGAAGATTGTGGCCTTCGATGTACAAGTTGAATAAGTCCGGTGAGAAGGCACAGCCTTGCCTTACACCACATTCTATTTTCGTAGATCTGCTGAAACTTAAACACTCCCCGTATGATTCTGATATGAATCACACTTACCGTCCTCTGTCAGAACACTTCCCAGATATTTAAATTCCTGTACCCACTTGATTTTAGTGTCCCCAACCTGTAAATCGCATTTCGGGCTCATCTTTTTACTGATGACCGTGCATTCTGTCTTCTTGTAGCTTATGCTTAGTCTTTTCTTCTCTCTCTCTCTCTCTCCGCCCCCCTTTCACTGCCTTCTGTAGAAGGTTTTGTAGTTTCCTTTCAACACTGTGTCACGTGCGTTAAGATTTTGGCCGCCAATGATGAATCCTGATAGGATTTCCAGTTCTCTAAGAATTGCCTTGCTGTATAAGTTGAATAAGTCCGGTGAGAAGACGCATCCTTGCCTTACGCCCTTTTCTATTTTTGAATATTAACTGAACCCATTCTCTATCCGCATGCATGAAATGCCTTTTCCGAAATCCACGTAATATAAAAGATATTTCAGCTATAATATATTGTAAGCTTATATTTAATAAACATGGCGCCGTCTTCCATTTTTTTTTTTTTTTTTCTTTTATTTCGTAGGCGAAGGAAGAACAGGAGAGGAATTGGGCTTCTCTTTTTTTCTCATTTCGATTAACAGTGACAGGTGGTTCAATATATCGAACAGGCTGTTTAAAAAGCCACGATTACACGGGTTGTATACATTAAACAAATATATCAACACGGCCCTTCTTTCCAATGGTTACTTATGAGGTTCTCCGTTCAGAGGAATAATATCGCGAAATGATTTCAGCGAAGAAAGAAAGAGAGAAAAATGCATCTTTAGTTTCTAGTTCGGCGATTTCAACAGATGTGGGCAATGTCTATCGAGACCGGGGAAACTTGGAAAATGAACAGATTGAAATAATATGTCAACATTCTTCGAAAATGAATAAGAGAGCAAAAAAATAATATCGGCATTTCAACATTCTGTCCGGCGAGACGGGGGGAAACCTAAGAGAACCCCTTGAAGAGCATATAATGAGAGCTAAAACAAAATAAACGTAGGTGTTTCGGGCATTTCAAAAGATCAGGCAATGTCCGGCGAGACGGGGGAAACCTGAAAAAAAGTGAACAGGTTAAAGTAATATATCAAAATTCATCGAAGTGCCCCTCGCATATAATGAGAGCAAAAAATAAACGCTTACGCGGGCATTTCAACAGATGTGGGCAATGTCCGGCGAGACGGGGGAAACCTGAAAAAAATGAACAGGTTAAAGTAATATGTCAAAATTCCTCGAAGAGCACCTCGGATATAATGAGAGCTAAAACAAAATGTTTACGTAGGTGTTTCGACAGATGAATTCAAGCACCCTACGAGGCTGGCATCCCGCTCCCACCCTTACACTGTAGAAATTTTAAAATGTAGCCGTCTCTTCTACTCCAATAGCTTCATACCTCGCACCTCTCGCCTGTGGAACACCCTTCCCAATTACTGTTTCCCTGAGAGCTATAATTCCAACTATTCAAATGTAATGTCAATCGACATCTCCAGTTACCTTTGATCTACCCACCATCCCTCCTCACCCTTTCTTCTATCACTCCTATCTGCTCTTGCTCCAAATCTTCTGCAACGCCCTGCATCCTAGTGGCTTCACGCCTTGCTCGGAGCGTAATGCTTAAAAAAAAAAAAAAAAATGTGGTCAGTGTCCGGCGAGACGGGGGAAACCTGAAAAAAATGAACAGGTTAAAGTAATATGTCAAAATTCTTCGAAGTAAGAGCACCTCGGATATAATGACAGCAAAAAAATAAATGCTTACGCGGGCATTTCGACAGATGTGGGCAATGTCCGGCGAGACGAGGGAAACTTGAAAAATGAACAGATTGAAAATGAACAGATGTCAAAATTCATCTATCTATCTATCTATCTATCTATCTATCTATCTATCTATCTAAGTCTGTTAATATCTATCTATCTAAAAGTTTAGGTAGGTACCACCACCCATTAATAGCGGAAAGAGCGATAACAGCTATTGGACATGAAAAACTTATTTAACCACAATTTTATGGAAATATATTTTAAGGATTCCAATGCAAATGCGTATTTCGCAATTGGCTTTCTTCCTTAAAGTCTATTCACGCGGCTGATTTCTTGCAATATTTTTATTTCGCTCCCGGCACACAATGAAAAAAGTGAAATTATATTATTTACTAGCAAATTACCCGTCAAAATTATTTCCATATGAATCTGAAATTCCGCCTAATATCCTGGATTCGCTTCGTAACATTTGGTTCGCCGAGACGGATATTAACCAAATTTACAACTTCTAAGAGACAAGCGTTCCTCCAGGCTACACGTCTATTTCACTTAAAAGTAGAGGGCTAGGATCAGTCCCTGTACCCCTGAGGCGTACATAAAGGAGACATCACGGGAAATAAGATAATTTCTGGTCCTGTCGTATGTACTCGTGTTAGGGTTCCAAGATAACTGCGACTGTGTTAAACTCGTGGGGTGGAGTAGATAAACTACGCTTCCCGGTGATCGAACTGGGATAATTGCGTTATCCGTTTTCGGGTAGGAGTCAGCATAACATGGGTTGAAGCTGTCTTCAGAGATTTCGACCCTCAAGCAGCAACTTCTTTACCGCACAAAAGTATGGGTGGCAGTGGAGTTTCGGAATATTGTGACATACATAAAGTTGCGAGGATGGGGCAATTTTTATTCCGGTCCGTCTAGCGAAAATAGTTACGATACAAAATTCTAAATGTATAGCACCCAGAGAGAAACGAATTTTCATTTAGTAGTTAATGGTGCAAGTAAGCTGGATTAGGATTCTGAACAAAACTTGAATATTTAAATAATCTTTAAAACAGAGGATGTCTGTATGTCTGTCTGCGTGATACCTTTTCACTTGAGATCCATCCAACCAATTTTGATCAAACTTGGCACATACAATGTACAATGTAAGAGGTAAGATGTAAGAGGTTCTTAGAGTAAAAAATCAATAATTAAAAAAAAAATTCAATAATCGATGAAGCCGATCAAAAATCGATAAATTCAGTTCTTTTCCTCCGATTTCGTTTAAACTCGGTACGAAGGTTACTTACATCATGATGAGCTCAACGATACCACATTTTTATTTCTACGCCGCTGCGTTTAGCGAAAAATTGCGAAAAACGATTTCAACACAAATTTTAAACTAAAAACTCCATCAGTTTTCAAGCAATCTAATACAAACTTCACTCAATTGTAGCCAACAATGTTGATTGTTTACAATAATTTAACTTGATAATTGAGTCTACCATATAGTGAAAACATGCTTAAAAAGCGAAAAATGGCGATTTTTACCGATTACTTTCTTATTTTTCGTTGATCTTTCAACCCATTTTTAGCAATTTAATAAATATAAATGTATCCTCTTTTACATCCCTGGCAGCACACTGACAAATTGAATTTCAAAAACTCCAAAATTATTGTGATTTAAAGTGGGTCTTCATGTTGCCTGTTTTACCCTTTCATGTCCTTGTCTTACTTCGATTGAATAAATACAAACTATTGTTATATCAGTAACTGTATTAATTCAAAATGTTTTTTTTAATGAAAGTACTTTAAAGTAATTGAAGAAGATAGACTTTGTTATATCTAAACATGATGCTGTTTTTGCTCCATTCTAATTGAACGCTTTATCTGATCGACCAGCTGGCTATGGCTGCTAGTATAAAATAAAGGTTAAATAGTGAATAAATTTTTCGTTTAAATAAAGCAAAAAAAAAACAAACTCTAATCCAGTTGGTATAAAAAATAAATAAATGAATAATAAATGGTAAAAAGGAAAATATTTGTCTATATTTCTGAGACGAAGCCTTATGTACATTATTCGGACCATTGTCCTCATCTTTGTCGCCATATTTATTACGACGTATCGGCCCTTCAGTATCTGTCTATATTTCCGAGACGAAGCATTATGTACATTATTTACATTATTCGGACCATTGTCCTCATCTTTGTCACCATATTTATTACGACGTTTCGACCGTTGTACGCTCCGGCGTTCTTCAGGTAGTTGGAATGTCGAACTGAACCCATTATTTCGCTCACTGGGGGTAGAAATAAATGGTTCAGTTCGACATTACAAACATCTGAAGAAGGCTGGAGCGTACAACGGCCGAAACGTTGTAATAAATATGGCAACAAAGATGAGGAAAATGGTCCGAATAATGTAAATAAGGAAAATATTGTCCATTTTCATAAAGTACTGTATATAGTCGTGTGACGCGCGATCTCGCGTATCGTGCGACCCCCAAATTTTTACTTTTAAAAATTGATCTAATCCTGTATCTCGTATATCATGTGACTTCCCTTTTTGATAAATGAAATTACAATAGACTAACCTCTTTTCCTGTATCTCTTTATCCCATCTTCTAGTTAAATAAGTTAAAAAAGTTAACGAGAATGATAAAAGTATCATTAGTAACGCTATACTCGTGGTGTAAACGTTTACAGCCATAAACAACCGAACGAGAAACAGCTAAACATCTTATAAACATAAACAATGGAAAAGATGCATATTTTTTATGTTTGTATCTTATAATACGATACTAATACGTGAATATTACATGCGTTATACAGTTAAGTAAAACAGTTCTATCATAATCGGGCTTATTTTAAATACAGCTGTACTTTTTGACTACAGTAAATAGATATATAGTTTGGTTATCGGTGTAGCCAGGGTCAGAAGTACATACGCTAATTTTATATCTCGTGTATGATGCAACCCTCTTAAAATTAGCTTCAAAATTAGGTCTTCAAATATCGCATGATACGCGAGTATAGACGGTATATTTTTTTGTTAAAATAAAACGAAAACAAAGTTTAATGATGCTTGCATCCCGATTCGGAACGAAAAAGTAAAATAAACAAAATGGAAAGTATTATCATTTTATAGTATACTAGCAGCATGGCTCGGCGTTGCCCGTGCTTGATTCAAAAATCGTACGACTCAAACAGCAATCGCTATCACTTGACTTAAAATATTTTCCTTGTCTTTAAAGGAGTGCCCTTTGTCGTGCTGATGTTGCTACATGCCTTACTTCTTGCCTATCTCACACTGCGAATTTTTTCTACGCTCTATACTAAACATTAAATCTGTTACGAAAAAAGAACTAAACAAAATGAACACAAAACGATCAGCTTTAAAAAAAACTGAAAACTGAATGAAAAAAGAATGTTAACAACAAATACTTTTTCACACCCGACCCAGTTCTGCGGAATCAGAATCAACGTTGAGTTTAAGCAGGCGAATGAGCCAATTGGAGTAAAGTGCCATGCAAATTTTCCCACTTGTGACGAATGCAGCTATCGATGTTTTTTGCATGCTAGTTAACATTTGTGTTCCTTCTCACGCTGGCCATTAGAATCTTCCTGTCTATTCGTGACAGCCAGCTATATTTCTCACCTGGCCAGTAGAAAATGGCCGCAACCACATGAAAACTGCCGTAGAAGCATGAAAAATCGATTATTTCCACTATCGATGGAGTTGGGAAATGCAAAGTCGGTCTTGGCCTTCCCACTAAATTAGAGCATGTGCATGTAAATTTTGGTGCAAATCCATCGAAAATTGCGGCCGTGCATTGCAAACACACACACACACACGTTACACACACACACACACACACACACACACACACACACACACACACACACACACACGCATCCTGCCTTTCATAGATAGAGATTTCTTTCGTTTTTTTTTCAGCACACGATTTAGAACAAAAAATAAATGAAAAATTAAAAAAAGAAATAAAATGGAAAATAATGCCATTTTCTATATCGTATAATTTTCGCTTAAATTTAGATATCGCAAAGGTGTTCAACAGAGCTTGGCACGCTGGTCTTCTCCACACACTCAATGGCTACGGTGTCTCTGGACGAATATTTGGTTTAATCCAATCGTTCGTAATAAATAAGCATTGGTCGGTTTTATACTGCTTGTTTATTGACTCATGTATAAACTAGACCAATGCTTGACAATGGATGGGGTCATAAACCCAGTCAACCCTTGCCTATGGGAAGAGGTAAAACCCCACCAATTCTTGCCATAGATGCATGTATAAAACCCAACCAAAACTTGCCTATGCGCTGAGATAAAACCCGATCGATGACCCAGGTAAAAAATCGACCAATTTTTGCCTGCATACTTAGGTATAAACCTGACCAATGCTTTTCTATTGACTCAGCTCTAACAAGTGCTTGCCTATGGACACAGGCATAAATTCGACCAATGATTGCCTATAGGCTAAGGCAAATCTGGACCCATGCTTACCTACAGATGTAGACATAAACCCGACCAACGGTTGCCTACAGATGTAGACATAAACTCAACCAATGATTGCCTGCAGATCTAGGTATAAACCCAACTGCCTACAGATGTAGACATAAACCCGACCAATGATTGCCTACAGATGTAGGCATAAACTCAACCAATGATTGCCAGCAGATCTAGGTATAAACCCAACTGCCTACAGATGTAGACATAAACCCGACCAATGATGCCTACAGATGTAGGCATAAACTCAACCAATGGTTGCCTGCAGATCTAGGTATAAACCCAACTGCCTACAGATGTAGGCATAAACCCGACCAATGATTGCCTATGTGCTGAGGTAAAACCCGACCAATACTTGACTATAGATGAAGGCATAAAACCGACTAATTTTTGCCTATGGGCTTAAGTATATAATAATTAACCTGACATGAATTAGCCCCAAAATATTCTACTCTCATTAAACATTACCCCACATAGGAGCACTCCGTTAAGACTATTTGTATCTGAAAATAATTATTATCTCTCGAAATATTCACTCGCAAAAAAGACTTTTTCTTATAATCTAACAATATTTCAGCTTTAAATAACCTAAAAACTGTTGATAAGTCGTAAAAATCACAAATCAAAACCTATTGAACCCATATTTGAGGGAAGAAAAGATAATTCATTCTATTCATTTGCGCGTATAGGAATCTAACGAACCCAACTGGAATTAGAACTCAGCTACTCAGATTATCTTATTCCTAACCGCTATCCGTTGCACCACCAGACAGCATGCAGATTTTTCTGGTAAAAATAGTTTACCTTTAAATATTTTTAAGTTTTTTTTTATTTTTGCAAACCGTTGACAAGGATTTTGAAAATGTCAATCGATGAAGAATAAATGACGCCACTTGGGTTCTTAGAAATAAACCAGTTCTACTCGTTGCGGGAAATTGAGACCAACAGACGACACGCAGGAGTGGAACATTGTCCGTTCTGATTGGTTGATTTGAACGGAGTCATTTCTCTTTCTATTTGTTCCGTGTTCATTTTCTGAATCTCTTTCATTTCATGCCAGATTTGATTTCTTAATCTTTTTTGCATCTTAATTATATTTTTCTTAAGGCTGCGTTTATTTCATTGCTTGTTAATATGAAGCCTTGGTTTTCAGATTTATATTGCAGAAATGATACATTATTTCTTTCTTTAAATGCTTATTTTTTTAAAAATTTTCTATCCTTCTTTTGTTTCGATTTTATGAAGTAATTTCGCTATTTCCAGCGTTCTTCTCAAAACTAGATTGAACAACACAGTTGAAAATTGCTTTCTTGTACAGGTCCTTCACTTGTTAGCTTCTTTCTTTTAATTTATCTTTCTTTTGGTTATTTCTTTCTATCTCTCTGACATTTCTTTCTTTCTTTCTGACATTTCATTCTTTCTTTCTTTCTTTCTCTCTGAGATTTCTTTCTTTCTTTCATTCTTTCTTTCTTTTTCTCTGAGATTTCTTTCTTTCTTTCTCTGACATTTCCTTTTTTTCTTTCTTTTTTTCTTTCTTTCTATGTCTCTGAGATTTCTTTCTTTCTTTCTTTCTTTCTTTCTATTTGACATTTCTTTCTTTCTTTCTTTTTTCTTTTTTCTTTCTGAGATTTCTTTTCTATGTCTTTGACATTTCTTTCTTTTCTTTTTTTTTCTTTCTTTCTTTCTTTCTTTCTTTCTTTCTTTCTTTCTTTTAATTTATCTTTCTTTTGACATTTCTTTCTATCTCTCTGACATTTTTTCTTTTTTCCTTCTTTCTTTCTTTCTTTCTTTCTTTCTTTCTTTCTTTCTTTCTTTCTAAACGCAGTACTATGGAGAATGCGTTGTTTTAATCCAAAGAATATTTTAGTTTGTTTGGGTCAGTGTTTGTGGCTAGCTATGTTTAACATGAAACAGATTGAAGACCAGCCTCCATTTATTTTGGCCTTGTGCCACAGTTTTACATGAAACAGATTTTTGAAATAAAGACCAGTATTTCAAAATTTAGTATAGTAAGTAGGTCCTCCATTTGTAGGTCCTCCATTTGCTAGTTTCAGTGCTTGTATTCGATTTTTCATGGATTTGATCAACTTATCAACAATCGTCTGATCGATATTTTGTCACTCCTTTAGCAATGTTTCTTTAAGGGTTGCCAATGATGTGATTTTGGTTGCACGCTCTCGAAGTTTTCGGTCAAGGTGCTCCTAAACGTGCTCTGTTGGATTTATGTCAGGACTTTGGGCTATCCATGATAGTGACTTGATTCCTTGCGATTTCTTCCAGACCTTTGCTACTTTGCTCCTATGACTTGGTGCGCCATCTTCTTGAAAAAGGTAAACATTCTTGTCAATCTGATTGGTTTCAAATAGTGGGAGTCGTCCTTTCTCTAATATTTGATAGTATTTGGGACCATTCAACCGCTCATCAACAAGAATCAGCTCAGATTTCCTTCCAAACCAGGCAGCGCCCCACACCATTACTCCAGTCCCTTCATGTTTCACGGTCGCCTGCAGACACTCAGTGTTCCTAGTCTCATTCTGATTTCTCCAAACAAACCGAATTCGAATATTGGCGGAATTTACTTTCATCTGACCAAATTACAGACTGCCAAAATTCATAATCTTTGCTCTCGAATTTTTTTGCCCAGTCCATACGAAGTTTCCTGCTAACCTCTGAAATCAAGGGTTTCTTTCTTGCAACTCTTCTTTGATAGCCTCGCTCTTTCAGAATCTTTCTCGCCGCATATGGCAACATTTGCATGCTGTTGGCGACATCTTTGACGCTCTGACGACAGTTTTGATGACTTCCCTATTCAGTACCCTTTTCGTTCGCTCAGACACGATGCTTGGTCTTCCTGAACGTTGTTTCACACGACAATGGCGTTCTTCATTAAATTACTTGACAATATTATTAACCGTTTGATGATTAACATGGAAAAACCAAGCAATTTCTCTATTTGACTTGCCACACTGATGCCATCCTATTATTTGCCCTTGTTAAAATTCACTAATTTCCTTACTTCCACGAAATTTCATTGCAAGATATAAGTCAACTATTGTTCATAGACGAGAGTAGCTTGGTACTAACACGCTATTGTCTGAAAAAAAGAAAAGAAGAGACGTTATTAAACAATCCAAAATTGCTGTAATCATGGGTGGCTAAAAACCTATCATAGCCCACTGTATAGTGCACAGACTTTATGAATTTAAGTGCAATGCTAGATTGGTGACGAGGTTTCATCACTTTACAGTTGAAATGGCTAGACATAACTGTAAATTCCATACTAACACTTTCTTCTCTCACACTTCTTTGTTGTGAAACTCTCTTTTGCCTTCTTGCTTTCTAGCAAACATTGATCTTCAAACAAGTGCAATGTCAATTGTTATCTATTGTCTTCTTAATTTGTGTTCATTTGTTGTTGTTTCTCCTTAGCATTTTTCTCATATTCTCTAACAATCAGAATGTGTTGTTTTGGCGTAAGGAATACTGTAGTATATTTATGTCATTAGTCGTGGCTAGCTAAGTTTAAGACAGATTGAAAAACCAACCTTCTCCTATTTCCACTTTTGGCCTTGTGCCACGTTTTTGTATTATTCAAAATAAATATTGCTTTTCCTCCAAAGAAGTTTGACCGCATGAATTTAAACGTAGAATGTGTTCTTTTAATGCAAAGAATATTTTGGTTTCTTTGGTTCAGTGTTTGTGGCTAGCTAAGTTTAATATGAAACAGATTGAAGACCAACCTTTTTCTATACTCGCAATTTTGGCCTTGTGCCACCTTTTGTATTACGCAAAATAAATATTGATTTCCTCTATAGTGCCTAGACTTTATAAATTTAAGCGCAATCCAATATTGGCGACGAGGTTTCATCACTTTGCAGATGAAATGGCTAGACATAACTGTAAGTTCTATGCTAACAGTTTCTTCTCTCACACTTCTTGCTTGTGGAACTCTCTTCTGGCTTCTTACTCTCCAGCCAAATTTGATCTTCAAACATTTAAGTGTAATGTCAATTGTAATCTATTGTTTTTTTTTTAATTTGTGTTCTTTTGTTGTTTCTCCTTAATAGTATTTTTCTCATATTCTCTAACATTCAGAATGTATTGCTTTAGTGTAAGGAATACTGTGGTATGTTTGGATCAGTAATCATGGCTAGCTAAGACAGGCTGAAGACCAGCCTTCCCTTATCTCCACTTTTAGCCTTATGCTATATTTTTGTATTATTCAAAATTGCTGTCTTTGGTGCCTCAACTTCCAGAATGTAAATATAATACTAGATTGTCAGATAGGTCTCATAATTTCATTGCTGACATTTCTAGATGTAACTGTAAGTTTCTTTTCTCGCTTCTGGAATTCTCTATCGGCTCCTAGATTTCCAGCCAATTTAAATGCAACGCCAAACGTCGTTGAATCTGGTGCTTTTATTTTCTGCTCTGTTTCTTTTACTCTCGGTGACCAGTTGCGGGTGGGGGGTGCTGTTAGTGGCTTTTACACCATAGTGGCTTGCGGGTGGAATGATTAAAAAAGAAATCAAATATGCATCGCTGAAGGATGGATTCATACTTTTCTCAAGGACCTTCATACGAAGATAAATGCATCGGACATGATTGTTAATTTGACATTGAACGGTCGACTTCATTTTCTGTGCTGATAACCGTTACGTCATTTCATCTATCTATCTATCTATCTATCTATCTATCTATCTATCTATCTAATCTTTTTATCTATCTATCTATCTATTTTATCTATCTATCTATCTATCTATCTATCTAATCTTTTATCTATCTAATCTTTAGATCTATCTATCTATCTATCTAATGCTTTTTAGATCTATCTATCTATCTATCTATCTATCTATCTATCTATCTATCTATCTATCTATCTATCTATCATCTATCTATCTATCTATCTATCTAATCTTTTTTAGATCATCTATCTATCTATCTATCTATCTATCTATCTAATGCTTTTTAGATCTATCTATCTATCTATCTATCTATCTATCTATCTATCTATCTATCTATCTAATGCTTTTTAGATCTATCTATCTATCTATCTATCTATCTATCTATCTATCTATCTATCTATCTATATCTATTACTGGCTGTTTTGAAATCGCCAGAAGCTTCCTCTTCGTATTCTCCACGAAGATTACTGTTGGAAAAAAGCCTCAAAAAATAATTTTTCAGGGAAGTTACGAAAGGAAAAATAGAGTAAGATGGGAAAGGTAAAAAGAAATAAAGAAAGAAAAGCTGATAATGAGGTAGAGAGAGGAAGAGGGATAATGTATCAAGAAAAAGAAAAAAGAGAGAAAAGAGGACGATAGAAAGAAGAGAAGAGTATAAAGACGACAAACGACAAAGCAGAAAGAGTGAGTGAGTGAATGAGAGAAGGGAGGGTGGAGTTAGGAAGAAAGAATAAAAGAGAGATGCAAAGAAAGGGGGGGTGTATAGAAAGAGGTAAGGCGTCAGAGAAAAAAAAACAGGAGCAGATAAAAGAGATTACGAGTGAGAAGAAAGCGGGAATGAGTTGGAACTTAGAAAGAAAGGAAGAGAAGAAGGAAGAGGAGAAGCAACAAAGTAGAGAGAGAAGGAAGAGGAAAGTCAGGAGAGAGGGAAGGGTGAAGGAAGTGAAAAAAAAATTACAGAAAGAGAGAGTATAGAAAAAGAGAAGACCCCAGAGAAAAATAATGTGAGAGATGAAAGAGAGAGGGTAGAAACCCCCCCAAAAAAAAAAACAGAGACATAGTAAGAGAGAGAGAGAGAGAGAGAGAGAGAGAGAGAGAGAGAGAGTCATCGTAGTATCTTGTAGTAGTAGTACTAACATGTGTTGTCGGCGAACAACTTTCGGCATTGTATTATATTACATCGCGAATAATTACCAATCTATTTCTTTGAAGTTATTCTACATTTACCAAGAGATTATTCTAAGAGTTTTGACAACCAGTGCCAAGAAATGGATAATGCATTGGCACAGTGGTTACTGGCACGGAAAAAAAAAACAAAAAAAAAACGGAACCATTGAGCCAACATCAAATTCCAGTTGAGATTGTTTGCGCTCTCTTCGCACTAACGCCCTCGGGAAATGTATAACCACATCTCTTTCATCCCTGTTTATAACTGAAATAGTAGTGCAGACTAAGTCCTTTTGGACTTGATAGGGCGATCAGTCTAAGAGAATGATAACCTTGAACTCAAAAACCATATACCAAAACGCCTATACGACATTTGACATCCTTGACTCAATACTATTCAAATCTTTACCATTATGTCCGTGTCTATTTGAAGCTTAATTTTTACATGACATTTATAGAATTTTTTTTTTAAGCGTTTCACCCCAAGCAAGGCGGGAAGCCACTAGGACGCAAGGGGTTACAGAAAATTTGGAGCAAGATCAGATAGGAGTGATAGAGGAAAGGATGAGGAGAAGGATAGTGGATAGATCAAGGCAACTAGAGATGTCGATTGACATTACATTTGAATAGTTGGGGCTTATAGCTCTCAGGGAAACTGGAATATGGAAGGGAGTTCCACAGGCGAGAGGTGCGAGACATGAAGCTATTGGAGTCGAAGAGATGTTGGGCGCCAGGCATTCTAATGGAGGGCAGGGAAGGATCTCTGTGGTGATTAATAGGGAGCAGTTTTGTTTTTGAAGCGTTAAAGTTCACCAGCCAATTCCTGCCTCAGTTCACAACCGATTGGAGATCCTTTACACCTCTGGTCAAAATCTTAAGACCAGATACAAAAGAGTTAACTAAAATATAAAATACTGTTACTTTAATCAAAATATATTTGCGAGACATTTGCATTTAATTAGAAAATGTAATTTAAGCTTTTAATTGATTAATTTAAACAAAATGGATGTTTTGGTTGGTCATAAAGATAAGACCATGTAAATAAAACTAGTAAATACAGAACAAAATCTCCGAGTTCCAATTCCAGTCGGGTTCGTCATATTTACTTACGCGCAAATACCCTTGGGAAAGGCATAAATTCAACTCGTCTCCCCTCCCAGCTATGGGTTAATTATTTCGATTTGTACCAGTAAAGCATTATTATCTCCTCTAGAATCTTACAATCTAAACATATTTCTGCTTTTAAATAACCTCCAAAAGGTTGATAAGCCGTAAAAAACAAACTGATCAATACCATATTTACATATACAGTGTAACCCGGATATAAGAGACCCGGATATAAGAGAAACACGGATATAAGAGAGATTTTCTCTGGTCCCAAATTAGAGCCTGTGTTAATGTATATACAATAGACCAAACCCGGATATAAGAGAAACACGGATATAAGAGACTTATTCTCCGGTCCCGACAACTTTCTTATATCCGGGTTACACTTATGTTATATAGGAATAGAAGACGAGGGTGGGAGTGAAAGCGAGGAAAGATCTGGAAGAGAGAAATAAAAAAAAAGTGAAGGGAGAAGAGAGAGTGAGAGAGAGAGAGAGGGAAGACGATAGATATTAAGAAGCGGATACAAAGTTTCATAACACACCCTCTTAGAGATCTTAGCCGAAAAATCCACTGTTTATTTGTTTATCCGTGTCTTTGCGTGACTATTACAGAACTGTTAGAGAAAGCATATCAAATAAACTTAATATACCGTCATTCCCCATGTATAATACGCATTTTTTTCTAAAAAATAATAAGCAAAATATAGGGTGCATGTTATGCACAGCTACAAAAAATCTTTAAAAAAATGCCGTAAAATAAAATTAAATTAGAATATTATTCTATGTTTAAAACCATTTTTTTAAAAATAAGAGTAGGAAACGCTGTCAGTAACGAAATTGGAGAGGTATAATTTATAGGGTTTGTTTACCAAACAAGGTATGCGTATTATATATGAGTAGAAGCATTTTCCCACTTTCTTTCAGCACAATGTTAGGTGTGCCTATTATGGATAGACGTGCATTATAAATGGAGAGTTACGGTAATTCCCTTTAATATTCTCCTGTCGTAAGGAAACATATCAACTCCTTATGGGTAATTTAATACTGAAATTTCATTTTCTTAGGAGCATTAGTAATTTCTTTTATAAAGAAAAACGTATTACTGGTACATTTTTTTAAAATGTATTGCTGGCAATTTTTTTAACTATGAAAATGTATTGCTGGTATTTTTACTATAAAAATGTATTTTTATAATTTCATAGCGTTTTGATCTCGGTTTGAGAGTTAACTATTTGCCCATAGCTGGGACCCTAACAGGTGCTACCACAACGTGTCAGGTTGAACCTAGGAACAATAGCGATTAAGAGGGGTTCCACGCCTCTCAAAACCTCCAGATCAGAGACCTTGCAGCTGGATGTAGTTTGTCGTCATACTCAGGACGTTAAAGTCTGCCGGATATTCTGCTGAGTCAAATGACTTTTCACAACAGGCGTCACAGTGGTTGGTTATATTTACTTATATTTTTCAATCAGCTGGTGTCTAATTTGTAGATCGTCTATTATTGAATAATCACTCGTAAGGCCTGCCTATTTGTCGGAATTATTCTAATTTCACGATGTCCGTTAGTTTTAAAATAATTTGGGGAATAATTTGTATATGTCTGATAGTAATGAGATAGCATTAAGCATTCAACGCCAAACAAGGCGGGAAGCCACTAGCACGCAAGGGGTTATAGAGAGTTGGAGCGAGAACAAAGAGGAGTGATAGAGGAAAAGATAAAGAGAAGGTTAGGGGATAGATCAAGGCATCTGGAGACGTCGATTGACGTTACATTCGAATAGTTTGAGATTATAGCTATCAGGAAAACAAGGGAGTTCCACAGGCGAGAAGTGCGAGACATGAAGCTATTGGAGTAGAAGAGACGGCTACATTTAACAATTTCGACAGTGAAAGGGTGAGAGCGAGATGCCAGCCTAGTTGAGCGCTTAAATTCATGAAGTATAGGAACCAGCGAAAGCAGCTCATCGGAGCAGTTACCGTGAAACTATCTGTAAAAAAGACAGAGGGAGGCAACGGCACATCTGTGAGAGGGCGACAGCAGACGAGATGCCAGTTGCCAATTTTTTAAAAAATATCTGGTAGGACACCAAATAAATGTTGACTGGACTTGCCGTTATCTAGCCATCGAATCAGATTTATAATAAAATTAAAAAAAAAAACAGCGAGAGAGTATAAAAATGGTGTTTTGATTTGTAAAAATGAAAATATGCCAATAAAGTATAAACATGTATTACATATTGCATCATATTTCGTAGTCATGTGAGAAGAAGATTCTTGGGATAAATTACACGGGCGTGGGCAGCAATGGTCCGTGATGCGGTGCGCCAACAGGAAGAAGCCGGCTCAATCCGCCCAGGGTGAATGCCGCATCAAGACAAGAAAGAAGACAAGATCATCTTTGATGGCCAGGACATCTAGCAAGACTGGAATTCGACGTCAAGTCTTATTCAGTGATTTCACTTCAAGGAAAAAAAAACACGGACTTGCCCTTCTTCGGAGATATATGAGCCAATTCAAGACAACACCGAAAGCCGCTGGACTTGAAACTATATCGTTTGAAACGCGTGCACAAGACCGTTGCAACGGTCGATGTTCCATGATCATCGGGACCAAACACTTCAAAGCCATCAGAAATAAAAACGAAGTCAAACGACAAGAGTGAAAGACTCGACAAAATCGACCTCATCCTCCACCAATATTACTATGTAGTCAATTACATCGGCTCTTCCATGCAAAAATTGGTGCACGTAGTCATCAATGTCGTCAACATGAAGGAAGCTATCAGAAAAGAAAAAAAAATTACATTCTTGGATACTATATAAAGCCGACGATGACAACATGGCTTCTCTCTGAACGTGAAAAATAAAGCAAAGAAAAAAATAATATATTTTCTCTTTAGATTTTATGAAAGCTCTGGTTTTCTTTTAAAACGAGGCTCTTCAGATTCGACGCTAAGGGTTCCATGACTGTCCAAGCGCGGTGTATAGCAGTTGAAGAAAGT